GGATTTAACTCTTCTGTGAGGAATTTCATCATTACTGTTATTTTTAATGGAAAGCAGCAAATCCATGGACAGTGTTAAGATACTGCACTAACTTAGAAACCAAGGTTTTTTGGCCTAAACTGACTGAAACCATCAGTGTTTGGCAGCATGTGATGAAGAGTGCATTACTTACTAGCTTGCTCTGTAATTCTCCTTTTACTGTGCTGTACAACAAAATGCTACCAACTGCTGTACCAATAGCCAGGATATCTAACTGCTTGTCCACTTCTCCAACTTCAGACTTCCGTTTTTTCCTCTGGGGGCCATCCTGAAAAACCAAAAGAGAGAAACTGTGAAATAGATCAGTCTGAGTGGCTAATCTCCGTGTTAAAGCAGAGAAAAGAGAAACCTTAAGAGAAGTTTGACATCCAGACAGCCAGCACAACCCCTAAGACAGAAAATGAACACTGAAGTGCACACAGTCCTAGAAACTCATCTTGTACCTCCATGAAAAAGGGTAACAAACTTGCTATGAGTCACTTGGAAACACCTGGTATAAGCCATTTTGCTACCACCCCAACCACATGCACGTGTGAAAAAAAACCACGTTTAAGTTTTTTACAAATTTCCTGTCCCAGAGGCAGAAGTAAAAATTAACACATTCAGAATACTTCATCCATAAAATGGAAACGCTTGATCACAATCAATTTATTTTTTCTCAAAAGGTAATGAAAAGAGTCTTGCAAATCTGAAGCATTCATAATGCTTCTTAAAAATAAAGTGCTACCCCATTCCACAGAGGGCAGTGACTGGGATTCAAAGGAAAGTGCTCTGCCCAAATCCTGCTGTCTGCACCAGAGGGCCTCAGATGATCAGGCAATTCCTAACTCTTCACACTCTTGCTCTGCAAGTGCTACCAGCCACCTCAAGGAGGGATTTCACTTTGTCTCTCTTATCCAAAAATTTGAGAATGCAGATCACTGGGAAGGGAAGAAGGAATAAAACTGGTTCTTAAGCACGTGAAACTAAAATAAAGAGGGCAGAAGAAGTCATCATATTCACTGTGTTAATTACTGATTGCATACACACAAATAAAAGAAAATTTAAAAACTGTTCAAGGATATGAAAAGAAAAAAAAAATCACTAATGATTAGTTTTTTAATTGGACCTTGGTAAGTCTCCTTATATTTGTTACATCACAGCAAAGCATTCTCTCCAATTTAAAAATTACACACATGCTAATGCTTCCTCTACACAACAGAGCTCTCCTCACTGACAAGCAGCCTGAAGAAGCCCAAGGAGACCGATAAAATGTGAGCAACCAGCTCTGCTCAAGTTCCATGTGGTGTAGCTAATCTGTTTTACAACAGACATGACACAGTGAAGACAAATAATTTCTACTCAGGTCCAGAAATATGACAATCAGGATGCAGTAATTTTCACCACAAGTAAGATATTAAAGTTTGATAGTGAAGGATAAATATTTTGGTTCTTTGAAGAAGGATCTTCTATTCCTTCTGTACTTAACAGAGCTAACACCTTCTGCAAAGAAAAGTGTTTTGGTTTAGGCCAAAAAATACAAAATTGCTGTAAAGATAACTTTCACATCAAAAGCAGACTATTGAGAAAAGAGATTACAATTAGGGGGTTTTGCAAGTATTTGTTTAGGCTTTATCTTCTTAAAGAAATGTATTTATAAAATATTAAAAAACAGATGCTGAGAAACTAATGGCAATTAATTGAAACTGCAGTCTGACATGCAAAGACAAAGGCCACAGAGCGGAGATGCAAGTACAACTCCTGTGTTTTCTGGTACTTTTCGATCATTTTAAGTAGTTCTACCAATTACCCCACACACCCCTGCTGCAAAGCAAAAGCAAACTTAATAACAGACTTTATTCTCTTCCCCTGAATAAATCTTTCAAATAATTTTTTTTCAACCTCCATTTCAGTTTGCTATAGCAAATTTCCTTGGAACAACTCAAAGGCACAAAAAAATTCCACAAGTACAGTTATTTCCAGGGTCAGGAGAAAGCAAAGGGGCAGTGAAGGTTTCTCCAGTTTTTTTTCCACATGCATTTCTTTAATGACCACCCCTTATCAGCAGTATGAGAGGAGCACTTTGTCAGCAAGTTCTGCTTGAAGAAATGCCAGTGGAAAATTCAGACACCTGTTAATGTTTGATATGATTTGAAAAAAAAAAACTTTAAGAACTTAAAAAAAAAAAAAATCAAACTTCCCCACCCTACATTAAATTAGTACAATTAAAAAAGTGTTATTAGAGCAAATGACAATTGCACTTAACATCCATGTGAGAGTCACTTGTGGATCAGGGTCTTAAATAGAAGAACCCTGTTGTTATGGACAGGACAAATATCAGCTTCCTTGTAATCTGATTTCTTTTTCAGATTTATGGAAACTCAAGTTTATTTAGAAATCCTTAAACTTTGCCTGAAAAAGCACAATGTTTTAATTAGTGGAGATGGTTAAAAGAAGTTACTTGAAAAGAAACTGTGCACACATTTTTCAATAATGTTCTTCCTTGACTTGATAAGCCACTGAGACTTTCTAAACAGAAATCTGATGCTCACATGTGAAAATAAAGCACTTAGAGAACACTGGAATGGGGAGAAATCTAAAGGTCTTGACACTTGACAATGACAGAGCAGTTTCAGGTTGTTAGGAAGAAGTGGAAGAAGGTGTTTTGAATGTTGAAGGTGCACTTCTGCACAAGACACCCCACGGAGCAGGAGGTGATGAACGCTGCACACAGGAAGCACTGACACTGGAAGCACGTGGGCAGGGAGCATCCCAGTAAAGCCACCCCTGCATCAGCAATTCCAGAGCCTGCAGTTCAAAACGTGAGTTCTAATATTCCCCTGCAACACATGGCCTCCACTAACATGGCAGCAGTCCAAAACACACTGAGTTTAAGTGTAATTCGGCCAAACACCATTTATAGCTACCTACTGGCAGAGCTCTGACCACCTGAAACTAGAACTGCCTAGACAGATGTCAACTCTCCAGGAACAAAAGACTAAATAACGCCAGAAAAAACTCATTTAATAAAATGTTTTTGCCATAACTATCCCGGTTTTAGTTCTACAACTCAGTCTAATGAAAAAAAAAACCAATGACTTTTAAAGGTTTTATAGCACAACTATTGTAAGAAACAGTATGTTTCCCAGCTCCACTTTAAAATGGACTAGCTTTCGAGCAGGGGACAGGATTCAAAGTCCTGGAATAGCTAGAAAGCACTGAGAGGTGGCTAAGGTTGCTTTCATATAACCTTAAACCAGGTTAAATTCAAAGACCTGTGGGGCTTAGGAGTGTGTCTCTAGAAAAGGTTATTTTAAAAAAAAGTTTTAAAAGCCCCTCAGAAACTTCCTGTGCTTGACTTATGGCACCACAGCAGCGCACTGTGTCTAGTTTAGTTTTATTTCATACAGGACAGATTAACCCCATTTTCATATGCCAGTTTCAGGGAACCTAAGAGCAATGAACCTATACAGCTTTGCAACTAACGAATGGATTGTTTTTACTTGAAAGTTCCATGAAAAAGGAACAGGTTCAGGCCACCTAAAACTGACTCTCTCCACTTCATTCTTCGAATGTCCTGGGAGTTTTCAAAGTTCAGGGACTAAGCTGTTCCACTGACTAAAACAATATTGCCCTCCTTTGGGTTGATAATCTGTGTTTTAAGCATTTTGAAACAGCCTGAACAGCATTTCAAATATGTTGAATTGCTGATATACCAAAACACACTTTAAAACCCACCCCTTACTTCTTATGATAAAGGGGGTGGATTTCACATACTTTATGCAGGTTTTGCATTCTTTTTTCCTCAAGAAATGGTGTAGAATAAAGCTAAAGAATTACTTCAACATAAAAAAGACCAAAAGGTACCCCAGTACATACTCCAGCTATTTTCAGGTTCAGTGTTCACCTGAGGTGATGCTAACTAAAACCTGATCCAAGGTGGAGAAGATCCAAGCACTCCTGATGCATGGTGCGAATAAAACTACTGAACACCTTCTTGCAGGATTCCTGGACTCAGGAAGATGAATCATATACAGTGTAGCAGCTCGCACGGGAGTACTTCCAAGGGTAAGGAAGCGTGGAGACACTGCCTTTAGCAGAGAGGGAACTAAGGGGGTGCACAGCAGCTGACCTGCTCTGCAGCATCGCCTTTTCAATTACGGCAAGACGTGCCATCAATTAACATACCTCGCTCCTTCAAGGAAGGCTTCTTCCGCGCAGATAACATGAGAGACAAATGGTTTTCAACAGTCAGTGCTTCTGCCGAATTTTTGTTTTAAAAACCCACAAGACTAAGCCTCCAGCGCCGCCTCCCCCACGGACACGTGAAATTCACCGTAAGCAGCGCAATCCTGGGAGGGGGAGCGGCTCCCCCAGCCCTCCCCCCCCACCCCAGGGCGCGCCACACGTGGCCATCCCCCGAACCCCGGGGCCACAGGGACACGGGACGGGACGGTGCCCGAACCCCGCGGGGCTCTCGGGACCCTCGCCCCGCTCGCCGCGCCCCCGCTCCCCGGCCCGCCCGGCCACATGGCGCCGGGAGGGCGGGGTGAAGCCGAGCGGGCCGCGGCCACGCGTCAGGGCTGCTCGGGTCGCCGCCATCCCCACCCCGCTCCTCACGCGTGCCGCCCCCCCCCGCAGCCTCCGCGCTCCCTCCCCTCACGCACCTTGCTGGGGGGCTGCCGCGCACCCGCCGGGGCCCAGGCCAGGCAGGTACAGGCGGCGCTGAGGTGGGCGGAGGGCACGTACTCGTGCTGCAGGCGGCTGCCGGCCGTGTCCCACACGCGCAGCCGCCCATCGGGCCCGGCCGAGGCGAACAGGCGGCACCCGCGGGGGGAGAAGGCGCACGGAGGGGCCGCCATGGCGCGCGCGCTCCCCTCGCCTCTGCCCGGCCCGCCCCGCGCGGCGCATGCACCGCCCGCGTGCTCGCCCCGCGCGCCTCGAGCGGCGTCATCGGGGCGTGCGGCGCAGGCGCGCGGGGCGACGGCGGCGAAGGTGAGCCGCGCCCCCTTTTGCCGCCTCCCGCCGCTCCATGAGGGCCTGGCGCGCGCTGCGGCGGGCGGCCGCCCCCTCTTCCTCCTCCTCTTCCTCTTTTCCTGCCGATGGGAAGCCTCGCAGGCGGGCATGGGAGACTTCGCTGTCACCGCTGGAGCGGGTGAGGCGGCTGCTGCCGCCCGAGGAAGCGGCGGCGGTAGCGCAGCCGCCTCAGGCTCCCCCGAAGGAGGAGGAGGAGGAGGTGGCGGTGGCTGCCCCCCGACAAGCGCTGGCTGAGGCGGCGGCTCCGCGTTCCGGCCCTTTCCGCGCCGGGGAGCTGGCGCTGGCGGAGGTGCGGAGGAAGCACAACTCGACGCTGAAGCTGCTGTGCCGGCTGGCGGCGGAGGCGGTGCTGAGCAGCCCCGGCGGCCTCCTGCCCCACCGCGACATCATCGGGCGGCTGCCCGGGCAGGTGCTGCTCACGGCGAGCGGGAAGCGGCTGCTGCTGCGGCGGCCCTCGCTGGACGAGTACGTGCTGCTCATGCCGCGGGGAGCCACCATCGCCTACCCCAAGGTAGCGGCTGGTGGCTGGGGGCTCGCTGGCCGAATCTCACCTTTGATTTCCCGCGAGTAGTAACGTGCCGTGTTTTTATCGCCCGCAGGATATAAGTGCTCTATTAATGATGATGGATATCCACCCGGGAGACACCGTGTTGGAAACTGGCAGCGGGTCTGGTGCTATGAGCTTGTTTCTGTCGAGAGCAGGTGAGAACCTGGCTTTAGACAACACAGAAACAAATTTATTTATTTCCTTATCACAACTTGGGGGTTTTTTTTTGCCCAGATACTTACGGTTCTTGTGGTCCTTACTATTCAGCTCATGAGAGCTTTGCTGCAGTTCATGTATAGTTTGTTGACTTGAAGGAAAGTTAGATCAGCACAGGGACTGCAAACCATTCTGACTGTGCTTAGAGATGTAAATGGTTACTGAAGGCCTTGCAGAAAGCTGAGTTTCAGCCATGCCTCGAGATCACTCAACTGCAGCTGGTTTATTCTGATCATATTTCTGGAATAAACTAATGTTTGGGTTTTTCTAGTTCCATTGGGATTTTGAAGCTAGCATGAGGTTATCCTCGAAGCAAACATTGCTGCTGTAGGAGCTAGAAGCTGATGAAACAGAAGATAAACGTCAGCGCTTCTCTTTCCACTTAGAGAGAGGGAAAGTTGGAGTCCTTAGTTTTCCCCAGCTTGCCCTACAGGCATACCCAGAAGCCAAAGAGATGGAATACCTGCTACTGGCTAAGGCAAAACCTAGCTCTTGCTAAATACAGCAGATGATTTTTCTTGGGTATGCAGCCTACTGTGGCCGTTTCATACAAGCACACCTGAACTTGCCAATTATTCCTCTCATTTTTCTATCTTGTCCAACAGTTTTTTTCTAATAACTTTAATTTAGCTGTAAATGGGCCAAGTTGGCAAAGTCATTGACATTACCAGGCTGTTAACCTTATCCAGGGGAAGAGTGCAGTTGTTGTGTGCCAGATCAGCTCTATTTTGAGGAGTGGGAAAAAGGTATGAAATTGCATTGCTATTTTCAAATTTATTGCATTTAAATTGGCACCAAATACAGCCAGTTTTAGTCACAGCTGAACACACTTTGGTGCTGACACAGAAATAAATGGATTTGATTTGCTGGTTCCTAATGGTGGCTGCTTTTGCCACCATTGAAAACACACCAGCGCTACCCAACAAGGAAAACAGCTGGTACGTGGGTAAATGCTGGAATTCACATCTAGTGGGCACCTTACCAATGTCCATGGAATTATTTAATTTCCAAAATTATTGTTGATTTAACAGATTTCATTCATCCCTTAATTGTTTTTCCTTTTATATTTTCCTTTCCATTTTTTTTTAATCATTCCCAGAAACTACTGACATGAAACAGGAGAGTTAAGAGAGTGGTATTTGCCATGACTTTAAGATCTTTGAGAACTGGAAAATATGATGTATGCAAACTTGACATACTGTAGCTTCACAGTAATAAGGTTTTGCCTAGCTATTTTGCCTTGCTGTTCTTATTTTTAAAAAAGATTCAAAAAGTTTCAAAAAGTAGAAATCACTTTGAATGAGTGGGAGTAAAACTGACCCCCCCAGTGTGAAGAATTTTATTTTCCTGATGTTTCTAAACTGATAATCTAAAGTAAGGAGTTGGCACTGTGACTCTACAACTGCTTCAGGTGATCAAAGGCAACATGCTGAAACCTTCCTTTTCTTACAAGCTGGTTCTGGCCTTTGTCTGATGCAGGGTGAGCTGGATCAAGGAGCAACTGTTGGGAAATCCATCCCTTCTTTTACTTGGTTATCTGAATGGATTCGCAGTGGGATCACGTAGGTGAGGGAACGAGCCTGGTGACTTCAAACTGAAATGGCTTAGAAAGGCACAGAACTGACCTGGGGAGCTGCTGCTTCCTGAAAGCTGCCTACACCCATTCCAAAGTAGCAAGGAGAGAGAAGTGAGCAGTGGGATAGGCTTGAGGAATTGGAGTAATAGAAATACGGAATAATACAGCAGTGCATGCCCTGCTGTCTGCCTGCACAGCCTGGAAATGCTTCCTTTATGAGAAACAGTGTGCATTGCAGTCATGGTAGATTTCAGAATAGTAAATTTAGACTTAATAATTTATTGCTGTTGCAGACAGTAACAGGAAACTTACACAAACCTGGGTAAATCAAAGAGTACACTGGAAAACTTTTTTGTGGGGCTGAGATCAGTGAGCAGGTTTCCTTAGCCTGTGAGCACTGGTGCAGCATTCTCAGCTGGTACCTCTGGTTGCTCTAGCAGAAGGATCTAGCAGTGGCCACAGATGCTCAACTTGTCTTTTGCTGCATGAATGACTTCAGGAGAACATCTTGGAACAGTCTGTACTACTATAACTACGCTTTGTTTCATCTGTGCATTGATGGATTTCTGTCTGTGAAAGAACTAACACGACACTTTTTCTGCATATTTTTGTTTTAAATGTAAAGAAAACATAGATTGTCATTGATTGTTTAATATGTGATAATTTCCTTCAGTGGAGATGGAAAGGTGTATTTATGTTATAGACTATGGTTTTTGCTTTTGTTTTGTTTTTTTTTCCCAAGTCTTTATAACAGCAGTGTCAAGTGGTGAGTGGAGTGTTGCTGTTTGTTTTCAGTTGGGCCCAAAGGACGTGTTCTAAGTTATGAAATCAGAGAGGATCATCATAATTTAGCTAAGAAGAATTACAGGCACTGGCGTTCGGCATGGGAAATAGGACACGTGGACGAGTGGCCAGATAACGTGGAGTTCATTCTTAAAGACATTTCAACAGCTGCTGCAGATCTGAAATCTGTAACACTTGATGCAGTGAGTGAATCCAGACAATTCCCCCATTTAACACGTGTCTTTTTTCCATTAATGAAAACCTCCAGTGCTCACACTCCCCACGGGATTCCCATATCTAGTGTAATGTGACAAATAACGATCCAGGTCATCATCAGTGAAAGAAACATTGTAATTTTTTTGTCAGATACAAATGTTTTCAAGATTTCAGTTACAGGTTGTCAAATTAAAGAGTGATAAAGCTGTACTGTAGAAATATTACAATTAATTACTGCTGTCTTGTAAGCAAATACCAACTCATTTTCTTGTATTTTTGAGAAACTGATATTTTTATGAGATACATATTTCAAGCATTAAATTTCAGAAGAATACAGAACCTTATTAAATATGCAACTATATGACCACTTTGCTATCAGCTATGTAGAATGCACAATGTAACTAACCATAATTTAGAGAATGCTGTGGCTTGCTCTCCTGTCTTGCTTCTTTGTATCCCGATTTCCTAAAAAGGAATCATGCTGGGGAAAATAGCTTGATGTTAAGCACTCTTCCCTGTAAAGTTGACAAAGTGTTTACAACTGCTTACTAAATGCTTTAAACAAATAGCAATTTTTAAAATGGTGCAAGCAAAGAAATACAATACATAGCATAAAGACACCTTTTCAAAACTGTTTTAAGTAACAGTCCTGCAGGAAAGATCAGATATTGCATATGCCATTGTTCTGCAGTCTGAATAGCTTCCTAGCAGAAGATGGATAAATTGCCAAAGACATGAAGTATTTTTAATCTTGAAACTGACAGCAAGTCAGACATTGTGACCATAATGTGTTCTTCTTATGCATTTGAACAATCTCTTTTTTTCACATGTGAGAAATAGGTATTTAAATGTGTCAGCAAATATAGTCTTCTAAAAGTTTTTATTACTGTCAGGATTATGAGATTTAATTACTAGGAGGCATAACTTCCTACAGACCTTAGTTGGTCAAATGCTACTTGCTGTTTTAATAGAAATTCATTTGGAAGTAGAGAGGACTTCATTTTGTCTAAGTGTGCACCTCAGGTTTTGAGAGGCAGTAATAAAACTGGTGGATGATTACACACTGCTGCTGTATGCTTCTCTTTGCCATAACCTTTTTCCCCTCCAGCATTGTCCTATGTTATGTTGACAGATGTACATATGGTCTCCCAGGAAACATTAATATGTCTTTCTCTTGCAGGTAGTTCTGGATATGCTGAACCCTCAGTGTGCTCTGCCTGTTGTACACCCAAGCCTGAAACAAGGTGGGGTGTGTGCTGTGTACTTGGCAAAGTGAGTATTTCTTTCTGCCACCTTTATTCAGGCATTACCTGGTCTCAGTACAAAACCAAGCATCTTCTGAAATACACATCCAGCATTCATGAAATGGTTAACAAAGTTGGGTTTTTTCCCCTTGTAACTTTCTTTGGGAGTTGTACTCGGTATAAATTACACTTGGCCAAATCCTTTGGCATCTCCCTGGGGAATGTTCTCATTCTGGTCAGTGAAGTTTGGCCTTTCTGGCATCCTCAAAGTAACTGCACTGTTCTCCAGTGCAATAGTCAAGTTGTTCCTTTTCCCTAAAACTGAAGGATTTATGTAACCTCAAAGGTAAAGAATGTGCCAAAGTCAGTAGAACTGAAATTTTGTGATTTGAATTTTCAAAATACTACTTTATCCTTTGCATTTCTTCAAAAGCATCACACAGGTTATTGACCTTTTAGACAGAATACGGAGCTGCAAGCTTCCTTTTTTGTGTGAAAGGATAATTGAGGTAACTCACAGGAGCTGGTCAGTACTCCCTGCTAAACTCAAGCATTACAAATCAAGCCAAATGGTGGAAACTCAAGAAAATATTGAAGAACCACTTCAAAATGAATACGAAGAAATCCATATTGAGGATCAAGCAGTTCTTAAGGAGAGCGAATGCTATGGTAAGGACTTTGCTGCTGACAAGATCCCCTATTACTGCACTTTGATAACCCAGTGTAGGAGGAGGCAGTGTTTTTACCTAGGTCAGCTGAGAATAGGCAAGGTTTTGGACAGCCTGGACCTTGTCAGGTTTAAAGAAGACTATTAATTGTTATTTAAGTTAAAATAGCCTACTAAAAACCTAGGCTAAATAAAAAATAAATTTCAATCTGAAATAAAGAATGACTTTCAAATTTTTGATTTTTAAGAAAATTCCGTTCTTTATATTCACCCCAAAGCTGCTTTAGAGGACCCTGATGGACTTAAGGATTCCTTAACAGAAACAGTGGCCAGTGAGCTCTGTTTTAAAACTATGCTTTAAATAAAACCTTTTTTTTTTTTTTTTGTACTAGCATTTGGTATTTTCCTATATCATGAAATCATAAAACTTATAATAATAAAATAATTATTGTGTATTGAAATACTAAAGTAGTAACTTTTGTTTTTTAATTAGCGTTCCTTACCAAGCTGAGAAAGGTTCGACCCCTGCTTTCTTGATGCTGCTGCCTCCTTAGCTGCTAATTTGAATATTGTATCAGAATTAAATAAAACATAACAAAGTAGATGCTACATTTTGCAAGTTGTGTAACTTTTAAGTACTGACTGCTCTGATTTCTATCTCACATCAAGTTTGAAACACCAACTGTTATCCCACTATGTAAAGGGAAAATTTTGAAGTGAATCCTCATGTCTGGTGTTGTGATGCAGCCCAGATTGTTCTGCAAATCACAGTATCTGTTTCTGTCTTACCAGGTGCATTTCATTCTCCATTGCTTGTAAACCAGTCCATAGACTTATCTTGCTCCAGGGTGCTGCATGGTTGCCTTTTGCTAGACAGCCTCTGACAGTCTACCAGAAACAAGGAGAAGAAAAAAATTTAGTAAGAAAATAAGGGATCAAAGGCTCTCCTTTGAAATTAATACTTTGCTGGCTTCCAACTGATAACTATAGGTTTCTTTAAGAACAAAGTTCTTAAAGCACAACTTTTAGAGACACTGACATTCACTGAATGCATTCACTTGATAAAGCTGTGCTTATTTCAACAGCAAAACAGTTGTTGACAGGCACAGCTCTGGTTCCCTTCCAGCACTCATGCTGCAAGTTGCCTGGCTATTTGTGAACATCACTTCATCTCAAGTATTCTCAAATGGCTGGAGGAAAGACAGTTTTGTCTGGCCCTTGTCAGAGATGAGAAGCCAGATCTCTCAAGTAAAAACAGACTTGAAGTCATTTGGGGTCTCCCCTGAGTAAGTGGTGATGTTTAACACATTAAATTATTATGTTTTCTATACACCTGACCTGCTTTATATCTCAGGAAATATTCAAATGCCAATTTATTCAAAGTTGAGATTCACATTTGTACTAAAGCAATCAAAAACAGTAACAATCTTACTGCAATAGTGAAAATTTGGATCTTAATGAGAACACATGCAAATGTAAAATATACAGAGTTATAAATAACTACCTTTGTATTAGACAAGTATACTAGGAACTCTGCACTGGTTAACTACAGGAGAGTATCTTTGCAGAGCTGAGACCTTATCCAGGTGCCTGAGGAAGTTTACATCTCAAGTGCGTTTAACTTCTAATAATAAATGTAATAATGGGTTTGCCCCACAACTGCTGTATGTAATGGAGGGCCCTAATGCAAAGGCTGAGGATGCTATTGTGAGTAGATTAATGGGCAGAGCTTATTCTATGTAAACAATTCTTGCAATAAGCTCTTGTTTTCTACTCATATCCCAGTATTAAAACAGTCTTGTATAAATTGTCAACCAGTTAGATACTTAGAGGAAAATGGAAATTGTGATTTAACCTATGTCCAAACCCATATTACAAATGAGCATCTTGCTCTTTCTCAAAACATGCTCTCAGCAAGAGCACTTTAATTCACTTTACACACTAGTATTTTTATTGGACACAGCCAGTCATAAAAAAAATAATTTAAAACAGGACTCTCACTTTCATTTATAATGCAAGAATAGTAACAAATGCCTGAGTAGCACCCAAAATCTACCGTAGTAGATGAAAGTAACATGAAGAGACTCAATGTAAAGCAGTTGGTACTTCCAGGAAGTTAAGGTAGAATATGTGAAAATGAATCTGTGAGGGTAAAAGCACAGTCCTGCTGAGGTGTTACAGGGAGGGACAGAGCAGTCCCTGCAGCACTCTGAAGGGCAAATACGGCCCCAGTTGCCTAAACTAACAGAAAAATTATTCACAGTATTAAAGCATACCTTGGCCTTTATAAGAAGGAGAGTCGGTGAGCATTTTTTCAGTAGAAAAGGTGTCCTTCGATTGCTGGGATGAGTGTAAGTCCATCATCTCCAAAGTGTCGGTAGACGAGGAGGAGGATGATAATCCGAGTCGCACAAACCTGCCTTTCTTCCCGCAGAGCAGGCAGTCCGTGGGAGTCGCGCTGGGTCCTCGGGGCAGCTGCACTTGGTCATCATAACTCCTCAGAGCGCCGCTGTGGTGCACAGAGCGCTCTCGCTGCCAGATGTAATGAGTTGGAGCGATGGCCATCACCTGTGGGAACAGCCAGATGTGCTCAGGAAGAGCAAAAATAATGGGGAAAAAACATATGGCTGAAAACTATATCCAGTTAGCATGGCAGGGAATTAACGTAGCTGTAATGGGCATCATCTCTTATCTGTCTCACTGTCCCACTGGAAAGTTTGCTGCCTTAGGCAGGGGTAAGTAATCCTGACACCAGTCAGGTGTGGAAACATCCCAACTTCCAGCCCTGTATGTTCATGTGAGCCATCACAAACAGCAGCTCATGCTCAGGATGTTGGACTCAAGAGGGTCTCTTTGGCCAGCTACCAAACATCAGCTGACAGTGTTCATCACCACTGAAATAACAACAGTGGGAAGCAGGGAGGGTATGCAAGGAAAAGCATCCTGCAGTCGCCTTGTTCCTTGTGCTTTTCCCATAGCATCTAATCCCATCCCAAGAAATGGGCCTCTAGTGTAAAGGAGAGATTTTGTTTTCCACCATTCTGGAAGTAAACATTAGATACTTAGAGCACAACAAGGGTTTTTCCAGGTACACACTTCACCTGAAAAGTGAGGAATATATTTTTTCCTTATCAATTGTAAAGCACACAAAATTATTTCTAAAGTGGATGAAGTGAAATTGGGGTAAATTTTAAATAAAAAATATTTGCATGAAGTAAATACTAGTCAATAGAAATGTCACTTTTAACAGTAGTGCAATATAAAATATTCTAGTTTACTTTAAAAACACCTTTTTAAACAATGTGTTTTAAATGGAGAAGGAAAAAATATCATGGGAGGATAAATGGACCATTACATTTTAGCAGCATCTTTTCTTTCCCATGGATTGTGTGTTTAGGGTAGAAACTGTACAGAGCTAAATTGCTAGCTGGTGTTACTTGTGATTTCAGCATCTACAATATGAAATCTCCCTCCCTACCTCTTCACAGCAGCGTCTGCTTACAATAGCCCTGTAGTCAATTCTACTCCAAAGCTGATCTCTTAACTTTAAGAAATCAGGGAAGAGCTTTCTCCAGGCTTTGCCCAAAGCCCATGGGAAAATGTCATACTTTGCTTCTTCATTGTCTTCTTCAACTGTGTTTGCCAGATACCTTCAAATATATATATGTTTATGTTTATAAATATTATTCAATCTTAAACCACTATATTAGAATGATTTCTAACATAAAATAACAGATATATTGCAGTGGTTCTTTTTTCTAGTATTGTGAAGAAAAAACACTAACAAAATACAGTATTTTCTTAATTAGTTCCATATGCATCCTTTGGGTAAAAAAACCCAGGCTTTTATAAAAATTGTTTTACCCTAGAGTTTCCTAAATTAATAGATAAGCAAGAGCTAACACATCCTGACATCCTTCTCCAAGCTGGCAAGAAACCCTTGAATAAAATGAACAGTTTCTGATTGATGCTTTAAATAAGGCTTAAAACTCCTGTGAAATCTTAAACTTCCCACTTTTTACTTTATGGATTTTAGCTATTCTTGGAAAATTACGCTGCTCATATTAAATTAGGAGCAAACAACTAAATGTAGGTCTACCTTTAGTTATAAATGAAAAACTTAAATTACTTTTTTTTAATGTCTCTGTTCTTCCCTTTGTTCACTATCTAGTTACTTTTAGGTTTGGATTGTCTTCTCAGACAACAGGAAAACATTTACTTCCTCTGGACCCACCTGGTACTAAACTCCTGTAAATCACACTTGAAAAATTAGGACTTTTAGTCTCCTCCCCAGTTTTCTCACTTGCTCCAGTATTCTCTCTAGTCCCAGTCTCACCAGACTCTTTGTCCCCCACTAATCCTTTCACTGTTCTGGCCTGGCTTTTCCCCCTTCAGTGGGGTCAGAGGGCTCCCTCCTCCCTGCTCTGTGGATGTCACCCACAGTACAGTGACAGCAGAAAGAACAGCCACCTTGTCCCTGCACTAGTGTGTAAATCAGAGCACCTGAGGAGCAATGGTACCAGCAAAGATGACCTGAGCACCATAACACTGTAAGAAAAAATGCAGAACCCTGTGCAGGTGTAGCCAAATACAGAGGGTTATGTGGGCCTGGATTACTGATACCACCACTGTTTCAAAATATAGACATTTTACAACTGTTCAAAAAAGTTCTCAGAAATTGGCTTTACTTTTGATTTAAAACACGTTGACAGAAACTTCATTAACACGTTATTCCTGAGATGCCTGTCATGGTGAAATGTTTTGTTACAAATGCCTTAAAGGCTGGCAAAGATCTGAAATAGGGTTTTATATGAGCACCTTTGAGCCACATACATGTTGCTGTGTATTGTCCTGCATATATTTCTTGTAGTGCTTTAAAAAGCTCCCAGATTCAGAATGCCACTGTGTGTATCACTACACCAATGCAAGCAACCCCTGTGTGCTGCTCAGGCTTGTTCCATCACAGGCAGAACGGTGACTTTGCACTATTTATGTACAGTCTGTAGATTACCATAGAACCACAGAATGGTTTGGCTTGGAAGGGACCTTAAAGACCACCGAGCTCCAGCCCCGCTGCCACCCCCTAGATCAGGTTGTTTATATATTCGTCAAGGAAGTCTCATCACGTATTATAATTGTCAGTGTCATAAAGAAATACTGCAAAGTTTATTCTAATAAAACCAGATAATTTTAAAGTACTTACAGAGCCACAAAGAAATTGATTCTGGTATGCTCACTTGGTGTGAAGTCAGCTCTCTTGAAATAAACG